CTTAAAAGAATATGATATCATGTTATAAAAAAATCGATTAAATCACTGAAATTGTATAAGAGATATTTACAAAAACTTTTGTTGGGGACTTTTGGGACACCCTGTAGGTAAATATAACACACAGAAATAAGGGTTAAGGATAGTTTTAAGGGTTAAGGATAGGAATTAGGATTAAGGATAGGTTTAAGAGTTAAAGATAGAAATAAGGGTTAAGGATAGGTTTAAGGGTTAAGGATGGGAATTAGGGTTAAGGATAGGTTTAAGGGTTAAGGATAGGTTTGAAGGTTAAGGATAGAATTAAGGTTTAGAGAGAGAAATAAGGGGTTAAATATGAAATTAACGGTTGGTTATAGCAGTACACTCGAAAAAAAATCCGTTTTCTCGGAAACATATAGAATGTTTCCGGGTTTGTCACTATATGAAACCCTTTATAGGTTTCCGGGAAAGGGTTTCCGAGCTCTCGGAAACCCTCAAAAGCAACCAAAAACCTCAAGATCTCGGAAACGCAGTGCAGGTTTCCAAGACTTCACAAAACTTCTATAGCTGTCCGAAAGCTAATCACAAAACCACTCCCTAGTCTATATCTGTCGCCTTATTGTAACCGCTTATTCTAACCCCTAATCTAAGTCCTCAATCTATATCCATTCCTTTATTCTAACCCCTTATTCTAATCCCTTACTCTGTTCCTTAATTTATCCCTTTTTCTATCCCCTTAATCTAATCCCTTATTCTATCTGCTTAATCAAATTCCTTATTCTAATCCCTTAATCTAATCCCTTATTCTAACCCCTTACTCTATTCCTTATTTTATCCCTTATTCTATGCCCTTAATCGAATCCCTTATTCTATCTCCTTAATCTAATCCCTTAATCTAATCACTTATTCTAACCCCTTAATCTAATCCCTTATTCTGTCTGCTTAATCAAATCCCTTATTTTAATCCCTTAATCAAATCCCTTATTCTATCTCTTATTCTATCCCCTTATTCTAATTCCTTATTCTATCTCCTTAATCTAATCCCTTATTCTAACCCCTTACTCGATTCCTTATTCTATCCCCTTAATCGAATCCCTTATTCTATCTCCTTAATCTAATCTTTTAATCTAATCTCTTATTCTAACCCCTTACTCTATTCCTTATTTTATCCCTTATTCTAACCCCTTAATCTAATCTCTTATTGTAATTCGGTAATCTAATCTCTTAATCTAATCTCTTGCTCTATCGCTTATTCAATCCCCTTATTCTAACTCGCATTCAATCCCATTAATCTAATGCCTTATTCTATCGCTTAGTGTAACGCTTATCCTTACCATTAATCCAACCCTTTCGTCTATATTTGCCCCGTTATTTTAACCTCTAATCAAAGTCCTTAGCCTATATTCAAGCCCTCATTGTATTCTCTTATTCTAGCCCCTTATCCCATCTCCTTATTCCATGTCCTTTTTCTACATGTATCCCCTTATTCTAATCGCGTAATGTATCCCCCGTTTTTAATCACTTAATCTAGGCGCTTGTTCTACCTCCTATGGTATCTTTTTGCTCTAACACCTTAATCTATGTGTATTCTCTTATTATAACCCCATAATCTAACTCTCGTATTTTGATTTGAGTTCCACTATTGGTGAACATGTATCTATAGTATAAAGAGACGAGAAAAGCTCCTTAATGTAAACTCATGAATTTCGTTGAAGCCTTCAGTGTCTATGTCTCTTAAAGCGAATATTATGAAACTAGTGAAAGTTCACAAGTGTATATGACTGTTAGTTCCAGATTCATATTGTCAGCTGAATTCCTAAAGCGTTTAAATCTGTCAAAGACTTAGATATGATGTCAGTCAAAGTGCTAAATCTTGTGAAAGACAGAGATATGAACTTGATGAAATCCCTCAAATATTCTTGTTTTCCAAATTCACGGGCATGAAGTCAGTGAAATTGGTAAAAGTTGGAAGTCTTCTAAATAGAATGTCATTAACCCTTTGAGGACTGAATTTTTTTTCAATTGAAAAACGGTTCTTCAATCAACCTGTTATATTTGGCTCAAAATGATCAAATAAAAACCTCATAACAATTTATCGAGAAAAGAGAGGGTGAAATCATGCGTTATTATATAGTAGGAGAAAGAAAGGAAGACATCTGAGAAGGATCTATATGATAGGAAGAAAGAGAGAAAAGACCTGCATGAGATGCCAGGTAGGCGACCTATTTACCTTGAAGATTATAACAGTTTAATATGGAGCAAACATTTTCTTTACTGAAAACTAGGTGGGAGAACGTATGTCCCATGGTCCTCAAAGGGTTAATTTAGTCTGATTTCTAGAGTGTTCATGTCTCGTACAACGGGCGTCGTGCTGTCAGTCTTATTGCTATAGTCTTCATGTCTTCCTCCGAAAGACTGAGTGAAAAAGTTAGTCTTAATTCTGTTGTCTTTCTGTATTTGAAAATCATAGTCACGAAGTCAGTCTTAGTCATCGAGTCTTTAAGGCTTTTTTGAGCAAGAGTCGTAAAATCAGTCTTGTGTCTTGGGATCTTGACATCTCTCAAAGCTAACAACATAAAGGCAGTTGAAGTTTTTAAGTCTTCACGTGTCTCAAAGCCGTGACCATACAGTTAATGAATGTTATTAGGTCTGAAATCCTATCGAACTCAGAGTCAAGAATTAATGTGGAATCCTATAGTGATGAAAGCTTTTTGTGTATTTAAGTCAAAGTCTTTAAGGCAGCCTGACTTCTGGTGTTCGTATTGCTGTCGAACCCAGAAGGTTGATGTCATTTGGAGTCTTGGGATCTTTAGTTTCGTTACTGCTGAAGTGTAGTTTTCGTATTCTCGTTACTTTTGCAGACCTTTTACCGAATCAGTTGGAGAAACTACATCCTGCGAAGTGAAGAAATAAATATCTACTGTTCTTTTTTCAGAGTACTTCCAAGATATTTTACGTTGTTTATGTGTTCAAACAGATGATTCAGAAAAACGTCAACATATTTTTGAAACGATACACCATGGCATTTTCTACAATAGGTGAAAGCAGAAATTCTTGTGACTTGTGCTAATATATTTGGAAAGAGCTAAAAGGAAAAAGGTCTGAGAGTCTATAGTGTCTCACTGTCCAGAGTTTGTTTTCTTTTCAGCTAAACAACAATCCCATTTCGCAAACGTTTCATTCTGTCCGACTATTTTCGAACATCAAGATGCTTACTTTATCGAGATGATGGTATTCAGAAATAAGTTTTTTTACATTTGATTTGATTTAGATAGTAAATGTGTTTTTTTAAAGCATTTACATCGATATCAAAGTGAGGAACTACAACATGTGATACATCTTTTCTTTAGCTCTCTCCAAATCTATTAACACAAGCCAAGAGAATCTTTTTTTTGATTATTGTACAGAATATCAGGACGCATGTTTTGAAAAAATTTAAGATTTTATCATTTACGTTTGTGGCGATCTATGGAGAATAATGATGTTGCAAACGTTCCGAGAAACCCGGTATTTGCTTGACATTATCTCGCAAATGAAGATTTCTTCATGTTTTCCATCGTTCATCTCCTATCAGTCTTCTGTATATGGCTGTTGAAAGGATCCTCAAACGGCCAAAACTTGCACTATATTCGTTGCAATCTGTTGATAAGGATCATAATGCTTGTACTTGGATGAAACATAAATGAATGAAGAAGGAAAAAGACGGCATTCTTTGATTAATCTGGCAATTTAATGTAGCTCTTCGATCCCCACAGTAAAATTTGTCGTAATCCATTCAAGTTTTTAGGTATTGAAAAATGTAATAACAAGTCGAAATTTTCTCAGGAACAATGTATTTTCTTTTGAGTTCTCAGAGTTCTAATGCTTTTATACAATAATTCCACATAAATTGAATAAGGTTTATATCATGCATGTCGTGCAATTCCTAGACTTCTAAAATAGCGATCGTAACATTAGAATCAAAAAGAAGACATCCGAATGCTATTTCTATGTTTGAGAATACTGGATAGGTTTCCGGAGCTTTTTTTCGGAAACGCAAGGGTTTTCTGAAAAATCGAAAACCCTGAAGGGTTTCCAATAGATGTTCGGAAACCATGCTTTTTTTTCGAAACGTTTCCACCGTTTTCGATGCTCGGAAACCCAAAAAGGTTTCCGATAAAAAAAATGTCGGAAACGCAAAGGTTTTCGAGAAGGTTTTTAAATCAGAGAAGGTTTCCGGGGATATCTTTCGGTTTTTAAAAAGAGCACCAGGGTTTCTGAGAATACGATTGAGGGTTTCCGGACCTATATTTCGAAAACTCATAGGTTTCCGGATACTCGGAAACCCTGAAGGTATTTTCAGAAACTTAACATGAGTCCGGAAACCTTCCCGGATACGTTCAAGGGCTTCGGAAACGGTTTCCGAAGGGGTTTCGGTTTCTGAGAAAACGTTTTTTTTTAGAGTGTACTTCACCTCTCTCGACGCCAGCATCAGTTAATGAGACTCTCAAACAAAACGGTGGTACTGTTGTACAAATTGCAAACTTGCACTCCCGTTCGAGTTGCTGTGATATTCTATAAACAGCGAAATCTATATACTAATGTTGAGTGTCACGTTCGAGTGTGAGTGGGTATGGGCGTGAGTGTGAGCAAGGGAATGAGGGCGTCAGTGAGATTCCTTTCTTCATCAAGGCCTCACAACCACACCCACCACTTTCACAGTTTACCACCCAGGGTGTGGGTGTTGGTGTGGGGAGGGTGCGGGGTGTCGCTGTGGCTGTGGCTGTGTGTGGGTGTTGGTGTGTCAGGGTGAGTGTGCATGTGCAGTTTGGATGTCGCTGGGTGTGGG